AACGTGTAGGTTCGGCGTGATTTTGTAATCTGAGATTTCTGTTGACCCTGAAGAAACAAGGTTTGGCGAGTAAACATTACAGATTACGTAATTCAAAGTTGGCCGAGTGGAGATCTCCGACAAAATAAAAAATAAAAAAAAATAAACCAAGGGTAGAACATGAACCGCGCTCGGCCCATGGCCGCGCGGTTAATAAAATATGTGCTGTAGCATTCTTTTAGAGGTTATAGGTCTGGCTGTTGTCTGCATGTCGCTTCGCATGTAATTTGCCATGTGCTGATGCGTTGTTTAGGCTCATTTCTATTAGACAATTGGATTATGAGCTCGAGATTTCTATCTCGCATGGAAATCGAGAGCGAATAATCTAATTGTTTTAGTGTAATGGTCGGAGGTCTTTGCCACGACCTCGAATCCACCGCGTACCACTAATAACAGTTATTGAAACAATAAAACTAGTTGTGCGCTTATTCTAATGCAAATTACACTGAGAAGAGCATCAAACCCGCAGGGACGTTTTCTTTTGCTTTCGGGTCAAGTTCTTCAATTCAACTGTGAAAACAACTGCTTATCACAGTTAAAAGAAACTGCTCAGTTTTCATACATGACTAGGAGAGACTGAATGAATTTTCACGCTTGAATTCACATGTCAAATTTTCATCCAATAAAGTTGACTGAAGTAGTTCTGTATCGGACAGTTTGTCTGGTCAGTAAAATTCGCTCACAGAATGTTCACTTCCATCACTCATTTTGAAGAGAACAAAATGTTGCAGCAACAAAATTGTTTTTGTCATTAACTCGCATTGATTTTGTCTTACGCGTTTCTAGAGGGCCGTACGCATTTCTAGTAGGGCCGTACGTGTTTTTCCGGCCCTATCACTTCGACGCGTACGGCCCTCATACGGGACCTTTTTTCTTTGGTTTTCCAAGGAAATTGCGCGCCGGGCCGTACGGGTCATATGATAATTATATTTATTGCATTCAGTTGACAAAATTATTTTTGCGCCGTGAAATGTTGTGCAAAATTTTGAAGCTGTAATAGGAAAACAATTTGCCAGTCTTTGCTAATGACTCGATTTTTATACCCTAAATTAAATAGCAGAAAGCGAGGAAATCCATTAACGGAATCCTCAGAAATGATCTCAAATGATTATACCAACGATGAAAGAGGTAAACTCGACTGAAATTGACTCATTTTTTAGTCAAAACTAAGGAAAAAAAAAAGAGGGAGAAACACAGGATTATGTGCCAATACAGCGCCCAGCCGCAAACAATCAAACAAACTCTCACAACTTTAAAACAATCGTTTAAAAATACGTACAGTGACGTTCCTTGCATTTTAAAGCAAATAGGGATAAACCTGTGCAGATTAATCGTCGATGGAAGAGTTAAAAGGGCAAAGGTTGACGATTGTCTCTAGTTCACCCACGAAAATTGATCAACACGACAATTTCATCAACCGTTTCGCGCCATCACCGTGGCGGAGGGATTCCAACACCTTCCTTTCCCCTCACCCTTGTACCACGGTGGAGGTATGAGTTAGCTTGTACGTCCAAGGGTGGATTATGGTGGTTCGCAACATTTGCCAACATTTTTCAGCATTTGCACTTTGAGAAATTATTACTGCCGCTCTTTAAAATTGACATTACGGTAATGGCATCAAACAAATGTCCAGTCATTTGTTAAAAATTATAATTATTTTTCATATTTTTGACATTAAGAGAACCACCTCAAATTTTTCAAAAACTTAAAAGGCTCTGAATCCGCCGTCGCATTAAAAAAAGGCAAAAAATTGCATTTAATATTTTTGATACCAAGATTATAGACTGATTTGAAATGCTAGAAACCGTTAAGAGCTATCTTGTAGTCTGAGTACTCTTTGTCTGACGTATTTGTGACAAAAAAAAAAATATTCTCGTCCTGTACAAAGTCAAACAGAAATCTACTTACCAGAAAGAGGGACTTTAAGCTGAGCCCTAGATACAGTTATGTTTAAAGCAAGTTCTCCGTTTGCGTGTTTTACCAAGTATTCGTCTAAAGGACCTACAACTCCATTTCTCTGTTGACGTGCCTGATAGTCACCTATGATAAACCAATTACGAGGTGGGTCTTTGAAGCCATCACAAAGACTATAGTCAAGGTAAATCATCAGCTGATAGACACCAGGCTCAGTGATGAGAAATAGAGCTTCGTAAGTTCCATTATTGTGATCGAAAACAGTGGCCGCAATGTTTGTTGGGCCACGTACGTAAACCCTCCATGTGTCTCCACCAATCAACTTCGTTCGATTGTCTGAGGTTTTTGACTGGATGAAAACCTTGCTGAACTCTCCCGCTGGTCTAATATCTTTGAATATGATCTCACTTGTTGCAGCGCTGCTTCTATTGGTTTTGCCCCAATGATCTTTCACTAATCCCCAGGCCATATTGTCAACACACGGCTTAATAATGTTCCTCTAGTCTACGCGTGCAAGACGCTGACGAAGCCACTCGTGTCGGAAACCTTGCAACCGCCTCGAAATTGCCGACACTGGAAGTCTGGAAACTTGCTTTGGAGGAGGAACTCCGACAAGAGAGGGGGCGTTGTTCATCTTGTCCGTGGAATACAGCAAGCAGAGGAGAAGTAGTACACCGAGGCAAAAAGAAAAACGGAGGAACCGTATAATACCGGGCACTGGTTTGTCGTGGTTCTTGGGAAGCTGGGAACTTGACGACATCGTCTTAATAAACTAGATCACGCTGAAAATGGAAGAAAAAGGGCAAAACTTGATTAGGATTATAAAGGTTTGCTCAAAAAGAATACGGTTTTCTTCAGTTTTCATTCTACACTCAGTGATTGTTGTAATGACCTCAGACCAATATTCTAGCCAAGTAAAACCAAAAGCATTCGTAAATCTCGTGCACGATTTCGTGCGCTTCACGCCGGTTGCATGTATTTGCTATGAGTAGATTGTATCTGTTCATTAATTGATAATCATCGATTAGGATATTCAATCGATCAGGATATCTAGCTTTTAACTTTGGTCCTCAATTACGACAATAGTTGCAGTCTTGCATAATAAGATATGAAGTTGTGTTTTGAACAATGGCATTGCCACCAAACATTTCTCACTGGCATGTGAATTTTAATTTACAGTATTTAAATCATGATTTATATTCTTTGTAAATTACTATTTACATGTTGGGATTGTGTGTAATAAAATTACAGCAAATTTAAAGCTATTAACACAGCATGCGGAGCACTGTCCTTTCCTACAATGATAATTCGAAGAACATGAAAAAAAATTAACACATTTTACGGGCTTAAGGTTACCGTATACCTTCAGGGGTGTCTCGCGTCCAAGCGATGTAGCGCGTCCGGTTTAAGCGGTAGATACCTAAACGCCTATATCAAATTAAAGGTTATAGAGCTGGCTATCAAACTATACCGAGACTTTTGAAATGAAATGAATTGCCAATTTTTTCAGGGCCACTAAATGCGAGCTTCTAATCACCTTTTGGAAGCTACAAGTCAAAGCGAGTTTTGTTTTTCGCCAATTTAGTTTTATCCTCGGTTTAAGGACAAAAAGCGCTAAAAAAGCGTGTCTGCGTTTTGCCATATTCAATTGCAATAAAAAGTTACAGAACATTTTCGAAATAGAATTTAAAAAATGTGAAGTGATCGAACAAAATTGGTTCTCGGAGAAAATATTTCAAAACAAACAATTCACAGACATTCTTTTGTTTATTATATGTTAATCTAGCTATTGTCCAAATTTGAGGGCAATGGAAGAAATTCCCTTTGAGTTGTAACTCTTTAAAGTGTCTGCTTCAAGCGAAAAATTTATTGGAGAAAACATACAGCGCTAAGAAAAATCTCTTACTTCGCAAACAAACTCCGCCCACAAACGCCTGTAACTGGGTTCTCCGATCACTGAGCCAATCAGCGTTTGGAAAGTTTTTCCTTGCGGTGGAATTTACGCGTGAATCTCCTAAACACTTTTGTGTTTCGCAATGCGCTCAAGGCGGAGAGATAATTTTTCTGTAGCTTGGTTTTTCTTGAAGCTGGTCTGGCAAAATGGGAAGACGGAAAAGGATACGAACGCTAGAGTGGCTGGGCGAAGAAAACAAACAAAAGAAAGCGCGGCGGAGCAAATCTGCTCGGATAATATTCCAATGGATCTCAACGAGTCAGACGATTCATCGGTATCGGACTCAACAGAAGAGTCATTGTAAAAATCGCTGTTATCGCTGTCAGGTTCCCAAATTTTTACAGAACCTTTCTCTTCTCTTGACTCGATCTTTTTGCCCGCTTGATACGATAGCCATAGCTTCATCCGCGAGGCCAATTTTAGCTTCTTCACTTCGAGACGTATTTTCATTCGTTCTTCGCTGTTTTTGCGTTTTCAAACTGGTCCACGGAGTTTTCCGTGGTCCATGTTTACTTATAACTTAATAGAATTACACCTAATACAAAAAATGCTTGGATTAACAATGCTGATCAACTGAGTAGAGGTGAGTAGCCAGCCAATTCGTGGTATCCATATAGGTAACAATTCCCGCGAAAGTCGTCTCGGTTGATTGGATACACGTTATAGGGCTGTCAATCAAGAGGGAACTTTTACTTCCGGCCATAGCGTAAAACCTCCATTTCACCGCCAATATTTAGTTTTTTTCAATTTTTTTTCAGAAATTAGAGATTACTCTTCGACCATTTCTTTGACCCAAGAATCCAAATTTGAAGAAAATTGCCGATCTGAAGGCATACGGTAACCTTAAAAATTATCTACATTGTAAAAGAACCTTTTAAACTGCTATACTAACTCATGCAAAAAACGTTTATATACGTAAATAATTTAACCAAATGCTGTAAAAAGTCCGAAAATGTTTTGTTTGAAACCCTGTAAAAACCATTTAAATCAAAAAGAGAGCCTGAAAGAAACATATAAAGACCATGTAAATGAAAAAAAAGGGGACTGTAAGAAAAGTTTAAAAGCCATGTTTTTACAAATGCAAAATTAAAAGGGAGCCTTTTAAAACATGTATAGACCATGTAAACGAAAAAAGGGAGGCTGTAATAAACATGTAAAAATCATAATAATGAAACAAGGGATCCTGTAAGAAACATGTAAAAACCATGTAAATGAAAAAAGGGGTGCTGTAAGAAACATGTAAAAAGCATGTAAATGAAAAAAGGGGGCCTGTAAGAAACATGTAAAAAGNAAAAAAAAAAAAAAAAAAAAAAAAAAAAAAAAGCCGGTAAGAATCATGGGAAAACAACGTAAATGAAAATAGGGTGCCTGTACGAAACAAGTAGAAACCATGTAAATAAAAAAAAAGAAGCCTGGCAGAAAAGTTTAAATTCCATTTAAGTGAAATACGGACCCTGTAACAAACTTGTAAAGGCAACGTGAATGAAAAAAAGGGAGCCTGTAAGAAATGTGTAAAAACCATGTAAAGGAAAAAAGGGCTCCTGTAAGACACAGGAACAAAACCATGTGAATAAGAAAAGGAAGCCTGTAAGAAACAAAACTGTGTCGACGAAAAAAGGAAGCCTATAAATGAAAACAGGAGATTGTAAGAAACATATAAAAACCGTGTAAATGAAAAAAAGGAGCCTGTGAGAAACATATAAAAACCAGGTAAATGAAAAAAGGAAGCCTGTAAGAAACACATAAAAACCATGTAAATCACAAAAGGGGCTTTTAACAAACATAAAAAAAATGCAAAGAAAAAAGAAAGCCTGCCAGAATAATAAAAAAGCCATGTAAACAAAAAGAGGGAGCCTGTAAGAAACATGTAAATACCATGTAAATGAAAAACGGAGCCTGTAAAAAACATGTAAAAGCAACGTAAATGAAAAAAAAAAAAGGGAGCCTGTCAGAAACACATAAAAACCATGTAAAGGAAAAAAGGGAGCCTGTAAGAAACACGTAAAAACCATGTAAATAAAAAAGGATCGCATAAGAAACATGTAAAAACCATGTAAATGAAAAGGGGCCTGTAGCAAACATGAAAAAAAAAAAACATACAAATGAAAAACAGGAAGCCTGTAAGAAAAATGAAAAAAACAATGTAAATGAAAAAAAGGAAGCATCTAAGAAATACATAAGCCATGTAAATGAAAAAAGGAAGCTTGTAAGAGACATGTAAAAACCATGTAAATGAAAAAGGAAGCCTGTAAGAAACATGTAAAAACCATGTAAATGAAAAAAGGAGCCTGCAAGAAACATGTAAAAACCATGTAAATGAAAACGGGAAGCCTGTGAGAAACATATAAAAACCATATAAATGAAAAAAGGAGCCTGTAAGCAACATGTAAAAACTAAGGAAATGAAGAAAGGGAGTCTGAAAGGAAGCCCGCAACAAACATGTAAAAACACTGTAAATGAAAAAGGGAGCCTGTAAGAAACATGTAAAATCCGTGTAAACAAAACAAACTGAACTCAAAGTTCGAATTAAAAGTTGAAAACACACGGTCCTATTTGCATATTATAAAAACATGATTGTCAGTTTCCCCTTGTTTGCGTTTCTTGTGAACGAATATTTGACGCCACAGTAGCAAGAAAAAACATAACAAAATGTTAAAAAAATAAAAACGTTAGAGAAATTGCATGCGAAGTAATCGAGTGCCTAAACGAAGATAACAATTTAGGTGACTCCGGCCGTTTGACTGACGCTGCACAACTTCCGGTCTTTAAAAATATACAACAGACATTCCGGTCTGCTAAAAAGAAAAAACACCGGTATTGAGTTTCATTGCATCGCGTCGTTTCAAATTGAAATTTGGAAACAAACGTTTTATACACATAAAAAGAACTTTTAACAATTATCAGCAGTGCACTATACAAATTTAAGCCTGTCCTGTCAACTGCTTGTTTTCTAAAATTTCCGGTCTTGAAAACAAAGGTTTTTTCTCACGGAATTACATCATGTACTCCTCGCTTAAAAAAGAAACAAGTATAGACACAATTATGTTAAGTCAGTCGAGCGAACTATGTTTCATTTCTGTCGCGTCTAAAGGCCCTGGTTTTACTTACGTTTCATTCTTTACGCACCAAAGGGACCCGGCCTTGCTTGCCATAGGAAAATTGGTACCCTAAGGAATGTTGGTACCCTGAGGAATTTTACAGACGGATTTCTCTTTTTCCCCACAATTCATTACAATACGTCATTTCATCTTAGTCTGGTCATTAAAAACAGCACTTTTCGTCTTTTTTCGAGGAAACATCGGGCCAGAAACATGGTAAAACAAAGAGACGCTTTCATACGCGAATAAAGAAACAGCTGATCAACAGTTACGGCTAGATAGAGAAGAGGGTTTGCCTCATTGACGTCACTGGAGTTGGGTTAAAAATATCCTACTGCGCGCAGCCACACGAAGCATGTCTTGTCCCGTTTTTCTGAGAAAAACGTCATGCTCGGCTAAACAACCTCGAACTTACATATCCACGCTCGTGCTGCGAACTGTGTGAGATTCCAACCCACCACATGTAAAGCGGGGAAGGAGGTGGTGGTGGGGGGGGGTTCTGGTGCACCTTTTATTTTCCCTATCTCTAAGATCAGAGATTCGGGGAAATAAAAGGTGATCCTTATATGTGTGTTCATGGGCCACGAGTTTTGCATGCCAATTAAATTCCATGAAATATATTTCATGGAATTTAATTGGCATGCAAAACTCGTGGCCATAAACACCAGGGAAATCTGGTGGTGGATTTCATGCTTTGTTTTCCAATATCATGAAAATTCCATTGAATTACATTTCATGGCCGAATATCATCAAAATATTCTTCAAAACTCTCAATAGCAGGTTTGCACGTTGTCGTCATTTGACTACAACTACCAGAGTTCCTTAGGGTTTTTTCTTTATTATTTAAATTTTGAATTCCCAGTGGTTATTCAAGTTAAATTTCTGACTGATTTAATTTTGATTTTATATCAGACATTCGAATGGTAAATATCGTTCACCATACTTCAGAGCTAGTACTGCTTAAATCTGACGGATGCTCAGAGCAGCAGCGCTTTCATTACGAAAAATGACTGTTCTTTTTCGATCTCTCTCTGGAATGAGGTCTATGACAAAAAATGTAAACAGACTCAATAGTTGCGTAAGCCTCTCGCCAGACCTTCGCGAGGAGATGATCTGTGAAATTATATACTTATCATCGGAACGATTTAGGGTCTTTGGTGTCCTAAAATATAATTTACTAGAAAAAAATGATAGAGGTGTTTGCTTTAGTCGCCATTTTGCTTAAAACTACTATATTTTGAAATTCTGACTTCGCG